GCAAATGTTTAAAATATATTTAATCATATTAAAAAATAAATAAATGTACACATTTGAATGTATACCCTTCAAATTTAACTGGAATAACAATTTTTTTTTTCACTCGAGATAAATATAATAAATATTGAGCAACAGATACTATCTGTTTGGTGATTTTTCTATAGCTGTGCAATATGTTTTATAAGCTTATTTTAATAATTACTTGCTGGTCATATTTGGAAAAAGTTTTGCTGTACTAGGAATTAATCAACTAGGTACAATTATTTATAGTTAAAACAATCTTTCCACTATGTCGAAGATTTTAGGTTTTTTGACAACCTCGCAATGTTCCAAGACTAGTAGAAAAGAAAAGAATTAGTCAAATACCAAATATTATCAGTTTGCACTGAGGGAAATAAAGATGTAAATTTTTAAAGATCTTCCTATTGAAAATTGAATTCAATCAACTAGTTAGGGGGAGAATGTGCCAGATGTACACCTACTATCGGGTATAGTTTACTACGAATTCGATAAGATGAGTTCTAGTCAAAAAAAAGAATCAGAGGAATCTGTTAAATTGTAAAAGATAAAATATATAATGATCATAGCTCTTACAAAAAAAATATATAAATCATTAATACATTCCATTCACTGTGCAGTGCGTTTCAGTGTACAAATGTCGAAAGATCTAAAGACAAAATTCATAAACATTTTTAAAAAAGTTGCCTGAATCCCGAAAATAAATTTACAGGAGAATATAATCAAATAATTAGCTTGAATGTGTTAGATTGCAATTAATAATTTCAATTTTGAAGAAGAGCCTTTTTAACGAGAGATTGTATAAATATAAAATTATATTCCTGTAAGACTGCACACTAGGAATACTATTTAATATGTACAGTAAATAAAAAAAAATTAATAAACAACAGAAACTGGTGAGGTTTGTGTGCAAATGTTTAAAATATATTTAATCATATTAAAAAATAAATAAATGTACACATTTGAATGTATACCCTTCAAATTTAACTGGAATAACAATTTTTTTTTTCACTCGAGATAAATATAATAAATATTGAGCAACAGATACTATCTGTTTGGTGATTTTTCTATAGCTGTGCAATATGTTTTATAAGCTTATTTTAATAATTACTTGCTGGTCATATTTGGAAAAAGTTTTGCTGTACTAGGAATTAATCAACTAGGTACATTTATTTATAGTTAAAACAATCTTTCCACTATGTCGAAGATTTTAGGTTTTTTGACAACCTCGCAATGTTCCAAGACTAGTAGAAAAGAAAAAAATTAGTCAAATACCAAATATTATCATTTTGCACTGAGGGAAATAAAAATGTAAATTTTTAAAGATCTTCCTTTCCCTACCTCTGATCCACCAATGACTGATGGTGTTCCTACTCCCATTGATAAGGAAGTTATACTTTAAAATTGAATTCAATCAACTAGTAACATTGAATAATTAGAAAGAAATAGTTAGAAAATCATCAGCAATACAATTAATAATGTTAAAACCATTTGCAATCATATTAAAAAATAAATAAGTATACACATTTGAATGTATACCCTTCAAATTTAACTGGAATAACAATTAGTTAGGGGGAGAATGTGGGAAAGCACATGTGCCGGATATCTAATGATCCTGGAAGTGCTATAACCCACTATCAGGTTCAGTTGACTGTATGTGAATGGGAAAAACAAAAGAAACTGGTGCAGTTTGTGTGCAGAAACATTGAAAAATTAGAAAAAAAAAATAGTCAGAAAATCATTAGCAATACCATTACTAATGTTTAATACATTTGTAATCATATGAAAAAAAAAAGTATGTTTACACATTTGATTGTATGCCTTTCAAATTTAACTCGAATAAACATTTCTTTTTTTTTACATTGAGGTAAACATAAGTAATAATGAGCAACAGATTATATCTGTTTGGTGATTTTTTTTTTACTGAGCATTATGCTTTATTAGCTTATTTTTTTTAATGATATGCTGCTCATATTTAGAAAAAGCCTTGCTGTACTGGGAAGTAAACAACCAGGTACATTTATTTTTAGTAAAAACAATCTTTCAACTATGTCGAAGATTTTAGGTTTTATGACAACCTCGCAATGTTCCAAGATTAGTAGAAAAGAAAAAAATTAGTCAAATACCAAATATTATCATTTTGTATTGATGGAAATAAAAATATAAATTTTTAAATGTCTTCCTTTCCCTACCTCTGATCCACCAATGACTCCTGGTGTTCCTACTCCTCGTACAAAAGAAAACAGTTAGTCAAATACCAAATATTAACAATTTGCACTGAGAGAAATAAAAATGTAAATTTCATAATTAAGAGGTAATATGAAAATTACTCTGTCTCGAAGAACTCTTTATTTTCAAACACAGGCCAGCCATCTGCATAACATGGCCACAGGCCAAAAAAAATCTATGTGTCCTCTTCCACTAAATATATCAAGTTTTATTGTTGTACTAATGTATGGATTATTGTATTATGGAAATGAAACGTACTACTGCATTATGACAAGCATCAATTGTTTAAGATAAAATACAATTAATTTTGGAGACTGTGGTCAGAGATGAAAATACATTCAAATCATGTTCCTGTAGTAAGGAGATTTTTTAAAATCTTTCTTAGGCCTCATTATTTATTTATTTATTCAGCTAAACAATTTAATTAGATAAAGCAGTAAGGAACTGCATGCCCAACAAAGTAACTTTCTTATATAAGTTAATTACTCTCATAGAAAAAAAGAAAACAAATTAAAAAATTGAGGAAATAATAAATAAACACACTCTGAAGAAGCGTCACATAAGCGTCAAAGGTTTAAAGGTATAGGATCAGGAGAACAGAAGCTCCTAGGCGCTAAGGCTCGCTGTCTGAGCTGTGATATTAGCCCAACTTGAACGCAACTTCTCTCCAATTTATACGTTTATAGTCTTATTATCTAGCGTGAATTTTATAGTTAATATTTAAATGTTTCATACATAGTATGAGCATAATATACGCACTATATTTTAAGTTTAAGTTTAATATTATTAAAATTAATATATGTTATAAATCATCAACTTTGTCGATGTTGCATTAAATCTACCTAAAATTATGTTTTTCACTTAACAGCTCATACTTATTAAATTACAAAAATCTTAGTAATTGACTATTACAATATATGTATATAAAAAATATTGGAGACACGTCCCGGTCTTCGGTCCGATGGATCTTGGAGCCGAGAAACAAATATTTTACATCATTCCAAGAGAAATTTATGTATTGGTTTTTTCCTGATTTTGCTTTGCCCCGGTGGTTACGGGGTGGTTAAGCAAAGGCAGGAAAAGAACAATAAATATATTTCTCTTGAAATTATATAAAATACTTTTTTTTCGACTCCAAGTCAAATCGGACCGAAGGCCGGGATGTGTGTCCAATATTTTTTTATTGAAGTTGATGATTTGTAGCACATATCTAATTTAATAATATTAAACTTAAACTTAAAATATGTGCGTATATTATGCTCATACTATGTATGAAACATTTAAATATTGACTCTTAAAGTCACGCTAGATAATAAGACTATAAACACATCAATTTGCGAGAAGTTGCATTCTAGTTGAGCTAAGGCCAATGATCAGACAGTGAGCCTTAGCGCCTAGGAGCTTCTGATCTCCTGATAGTTCACCATTGAACCTTTGACGCTTATGTGACGCTTCTTCAGAGTGTATTTATATATCATTTCTTCAATTTTTTATTTGTTTACTTTTTTATACTGGAGTAATTAAATTGTATCACAGGTTAGTATTTTTAGCTCAAATTGTTTAAAATAACTCAGGAGATCTCAACTAATAATTTAAGCCTTGAATCTTAAAAATCGATCCAGTCATTTGCTCCCAGTCTCTAAATCCCATCAAAACACCTTTACTTTTCCTCCTAAACCAAGTACTTCCTGTCCTACAGCATCCTGTAATAATACTCCACTTATCTCTGTTCAACAAAGCCGATACCTAGGACTCCACCTGGACGAACATCTAACTTTGAATCCTCTAGGATTCTTGTCATTTCCCAAGACTTGTTAATTGTTAAAGATAAAATATATATAATGATCAAAACATTTACATAAAAAATGTATAACTCATTAATAGATTCCATTCGCTGTGCAATGTAGAAAAGTTGCAAGATTTCAAGTTTGAAATCGTTAACATTTTATAGATTTTGATTATTATTTTCCTTTTGTTAATTTTATATTTTCTGTATATATGGTATGAATGTGTTCATATATCACTATAATCATTGTCCACATGACAGGATGTTATATTTCTAAATAAATAAATTTAAAAAAAATTAAAAAAGGTGCTTTGATCCTGAAAATAAATTTACAGGAGAATATAAGCAAATAATTAAATTGAATGTGTTAGATAGCAATTTATAATTTCAATTTTGAAGAAGTTTCTTTTTAATAAGAGGGCGTATAAATATAAAATTATATTCTTCTAAGACTGCACACTAGGAATACTATGAAATATGCACAGTAAATTAAAAAAAAATAATAAACAACAGAAACTGGTGAAGTTTGTGTGCAAATGTTTAAGATATATTCAATCATATTGAAAAATAAATAAGTGTACACATTTGAAAGTATACCCTTCCAATTTAACTGGAATAAACTTTTTTTTTTCACTCGAGGTAAACATAATAAATAATGAGCAACAGATAATATCTTATTGGTGATTTTTTTTTTTTTTAACTGTGCAATATGTTCTATAAGCTTATTTTTATAACGATATGCTGCTCATATTTGGAAAATGCCTTGCTGTACTAGGAGTTAATCAAATAGGTACATTTATTTATAGCTGAAACAATCTTTCCACTATGTCGAAGATTTTAGGTTTTATGACAACCTCGCAATGTTCCAAGACTAGTAGAAAAGAAAAAAATTAGTCAAATACCAAATATTATCATTTCGCATTGAGGGAAATAGAAATGTAAATTTTTAAACATCTTCCTTTCCCTACCTCTGATCCACCAATGACTGATGGTGTTCCTACTCCCATTGATAAGGAAGTGATACTTTAAAATTGAATTCAATCAACTAGTAACATTGAATAATTAGAAAGAAATAGTCAGAAAATCATCAGCAATACAATTAATAATGTTAAAAACATTTGCAATCATATTAATAAATAAATAAGTGTACACATTTGAATGTATACCCTTCAAATTTAACTGGAATAACATTTTTTTTTTTTCACTCGAGATACACTTAATAAATATTGAGCAACAGATAATATCTGTTTGGTGATTTTTCTTTAGTTGTGCAATATGTTTTATAAGCTTATTTTAATAATTACTTGCTGCTCATATTTGGAAAAAGCCTTGCTGTACTAGGAATTAATCGATTAGGTACATTTATTTTTAGTAAAAACTATCTCTCCACTATGTTGAAGATTTTATGTTTTACGACAACGTCACAAGGCTCCAAGACTAGCACAAAAGAAAAAAGTTAGTCAAATAGCAAATATTATCAATTTGCACTGAGGGAAATAAAAATGTAAATTTTTAAAGCTCTTCCTTTCCTTGCCTTTGATCCACCAATGACTGATGGTGTTCCTTCTCCCATTGATATGGAGGGGATACTCTGAACTTGAATTGGAATCAACTAGTTAGGGGGAGAATGTGCCAGATGTACACCTACTATCGGGTATAGTTTACTACGAATTCGATAAGATGAGTTCTAGTCAAAAAAAAGAATCAGAGGAATCTGTTAAATTGTAAAAGATAAAATATATAATGATCATAGCTCTTACAAAAAAAATATATAAATCATTAATACATTCCATTCACTGTGCAGTGCGTTTCAGTGTACAAATGTCGAAAGATCTAAAGACAAAATTCATAAACATTTTTAAAAAAGTTGCCTGAATCCCGAAAATAAATTTACAGGAGAATATAATCAAATAATTAGCTTGAATGTGTTAGATTGCAATTAATAATTTCAATTTTGAAGAAGAGCCTTTTTAACGAGAGATTGTATAAATATAAAATTATATTCCTGTAAGACTGCACACTAGGAATACTATTTAATATGTACAGTAAATAAAAAAAAATTAATAAACAACAGAAACTGGTGAGGTTTGTGTGCAAATGTTTAAAATATATTTAATCATATTAAAAAATAAATAAATGTACACATTTGAATGTATACCCTTCAAATTTAACTGGAATAACAATTTTTTTTTCACTCGAGATAAATATAATAAATATTGAGCAACAGATACTATCTGTTTGGTGATTTTTCTTTAGCTGTGCAATATGTTTTATAAGCTTATTTTAATAATTACTTGCTGGTCATATTTGGAAAAAGCTTTGCTGTACTAGGAATTAATCAACTAGGTACATTTATTTATAGTAAAAACAATCTTTCCACTATGTCGAAGATTTTAGGTTTTTTGACAACCTCGCAATGTTCCAAGACTAGTAGAAAAGAAAAAAATTAGTCAAATACCAAATATTATCATTTTGCACTGAGGGAAATAAAAATGTAAATTTTTAAAGATCTTCCTTTCCCTACCTCTGATCCACCAATGACTGATGGTGTTCCTACTCCCATTGATAAGGAAGTTATACTTTAAAATTGAATTCAATCAACTAGTAACATTGAATAATTAGAAAGAAATAGTCAGAAAATCATCAGCAATACAATTAATAATGTTAAAACCATTTGCAATCATATTAAAAAATAAATAAGTATACACATTTGAATGTATACCCTTCAAATTTAACTGGAATAACAATTAGTTAGGGGGAGAATGTGGGAAAGCACATGTGCCGGATATCTAATGATCCTGGAAGTGCTATAACCCACTATCAGGTTCAGTTGACTGTATGTGAATGGGAAAAACAAAAGAAACTGGTGCAGTTTGTGTGCAGAAACATTGAAAAATTAGAAAAAAAAAAAATAGTCAGAAAATCATTAGCAATACCATTACTAATGTTTAATACATTTGTAATCATATGAAAAAAAAAAGTATGTTTACACATTTGATTGTATGCCTTTCAAATTTAACTCGAATAAACATTTCTTTTTTTTACATTGAGGTAAACATAAGTAATAATGAGCAACAGATTATATCTGTTTGGTGATTTTTTTTTTACTGAGCATTATGCTTTATTAGCTTATTTTTTTAATGATATGCTGCTCATATTTAGAAAAAGCCTTGCTGTACTGGGAAGTAAACAACCAGGTACATTTATTTTTAGTAAAAACAATCTTTCAACTATGTCGAAGATTTTAGGTTTTATGACAACCTCGCAATGTTCCAAGATTAGTAGAAAAGAAAAAAATTAGTCAAATACCAAATATTATCATTTTGCACTGAGGGAAATAAAAATGTAAATTTTTAAAGATCTTCCTTTCCCTACCTCTGATCCACCAATGACTGATGGTGTTCCTACTCCCATTGATAAGGAAGTTATACTTTAAAATTGAATTCAATCAACTAGTAACATTGAATAATTAGAAAGAAATAGTTAGAAAATCATCAGCAATACAATTAATAATGTTAAAACCATTTGCAATCATATTAAAAAATAAATAAGTATACACATTTGAATGTATACCCTTCAAATTTAACTGGAATAACAATTAGTTAGGGGGAGAATGTGGGAAAGCACATGTGCCGGATATCTAATGATCCTGGAAGTGCTATAACCCACTATCAGGTTCAGTTGACTGTATGTGAATGGGAAAAACAAAAGAAACTGGTGCAGTTTGTGTGCAGAAACATTGAAAAATTAGAAAAAAAAAATAGTCAGAAAATCATTAGCAATACCATTACTAATGTTTAATACATTTGTAATCATATGAAAAAAAAAAAGTATGTTTACACATTTGATTGTATGCCTTTCAAATTTAACTCGAATAAACATTTCTTTTTTTTTACATTGAGGTAAACATAAGTAATAATGAGCAACAGATTATATCTGTTTGGTGTTTTTTTTTTTACTGAGCATTATGCTTTATTAGCTTATTTTTTTTAATGATATGCTGCTCATATTTAGAAAAAGCCTTGCTGTACTGGGAAGTAAACAACCAGGTACATTTATTTTTAGTAAAAACAATCTTTCAACTATGTCGAAGATTTTAGGTTTTATGACAACCTCGCAATGTTCCAAGATTAGTAGAAAAGAAAAAAATTAGTCAAATACCAAATATTATCATTTTGTATTGATGGAAATAAAAATATAAATTTTTAAATGTCTTCCTTTCCCTACCTCTGATCCACCAATGACTCCTGGTGTTCCTACTCCTCGTACAAAAGAAAACAGTTAGTCAAATACCAAATATTAACAATTTGCACTGAGAGAAATAAAAATGTAAATTTCATAATTAAGAGGTAATATGAAAATTACTCTGTCTCGAAGAACTCTTTATTTTCAAACACAGGCCAGCCATCTGCATAACATGGCCACAGGCCAAAAAAAATCTCTGTGTCCTCTTCCACTAAATATATCAAGTTTTATTGTTGTACTAATGTATGGATTATTGTATTATGGAAATGAAACGTACTACTGCATTATGACAAGCATCAATTGTTTAAGATAAAATACAATTAATTTTGGAGACTGTGGTCAGAGATGAAAATACATTCAAATCATGTTCCTGTAGTAAGGAGATTTTTTAAAATCTTTCTTAGGCCTCATTATTTATTTATTTATTCAGCTAAACAATTTAATTAGATAAAGCAGTAAGGAACTGCATGCCCAACAAAGTAACTTTCTTATATAAGTTAATTACTCTCATAGAAAAAAAGAAAACAAATTAAAAAATTGAGGAAATAATAAATAAACACACTCTGAAGAAGCGTCACATAAGCGTCAAAGGTTTAAAGGTATAGGATCAGGAGAACAGAAGCTCCTAGGCGCTAAGGCTCGCTGTCTGAGCTGTGATATTAGCCCAACTTGAACGCAACTTCTCTCCAATTTATACGTTTATAGTCTTATTATCTAGCGTGAATTTTATAGTTAATATTTAAATGTTTCATACATAGTATGAGCATAATATACGCACTATATTTTAAGTTTAAGTTTAATATTATTAAAATTAATATATGTTATAAATCATCAACTTTGTCGATGTTGCATTAAATCTACCTAAAATTATGTTTTTCACTTAACAGCTCATACTTATTAAATTACAAAAATCTTAGTAATTGACTATTACAATATATGTATATAAAAAATATTGGAGACACGTCCCGGTCTTCGGTCCGATGGATCTTGGAGCCGAGAAACAAATATTTTACATCATTCCAAGAGAAATTTATGTATTGGTTTTTTCCTGATTTTGCTTTGCCCCGGTGGTTACGGGGTGGTTAAGCAAAGGCAGGAAAAGAACAATAAATATATTTCTCTTGAAATTATATAAAATACTTTTTTTTCGACTCCAAGTCAAATCGGACCGAAGGCCGGGATGTGTGTCCAATATTTTTTTATTGAAGTTGATGATTTGTAGCACATATCTAATTTAATAATATTAAACTTAAACTTAAAATATGTGCGTATATTATGCTCATACTATGTATGAAACATTTAAATATTGACTCTTAAAGTCACGCTAGATAATAAGACTATAAACACATCAATTTGCGAGAAGTTGCATTCTAGTTGAGCTAAGGCCAATGATCAGACAGTGAGCCTTAGCGCCTAGCAGCTTCTGATCTCCTGATAGTTCACCATTGAACCTTTGACGCTTATGTGACGCTTCTTCAGAGTGTATTTATATATCATTTCTTCAATTTTTTATTTGTTTACTTTTTTATACTGGAGTAATTAAATTGTATCACAGGTTAGTATTTTTAGCTCAAATTGTTTAAAATAACTCAGGAGATCTCAACTAATAATTTAAGCCTTGAATCTTAAAAATCGATCCAGTCATTTGCTCCCAGTCTCTAAATCCCATCAAAACACCTTTACTTTTCCTCCTAAACCAAGTACTTCCTGTCCTACAGCATCCTGTAATAATACTCCACTTATCTCTGTTCAACAAAGCCGATACCTAGGACTCCACCTGGACGAACATCTAACTTTGAATCCTCTAGGATTCTTGTCATTTCCCAAGACTTGTTAATTGTTAAAGATAAAATATATATAATGATCAAAACATTTACATAAAAAATGTATAACTCATTAATAGATTCCATTCGCTGTGCAATGTAGAAAAGTTGCAAGATTTCAAGTTTGAAATCGTTAACATTTTATAGATTTTGATTATTATTTTCCTTTTGTTAATTTTATATTTTCTGTATATATGGTATGAATGTGTTCATATATCACTATAATCATTGTCCACATGACAGGATGTTATATTTCTAAATAAATAAATTTAAAAAAAATTAAAAAAGGTGCTTTGATCCTGAAAATAAATTTACAGGAGAATATAAGCAAATAATTAAATTGAATGTGTTAGATAGCAATTTATAATTTCAATTTTGAAGAAGTTTCTTTTTAATAAGAGGGCGTATAAATATAAAATTATATTCTTGTAAGACTGCACACTAGGAATACTATGAAATATGCACAGTAAATTAAAAAAAAAATAATAAACAACCGAAACTGGTGAAGTTTGTGTGCAAATGTTTAAGATATATTCAATCATATTGAAAAATAAATAAGTGTACACATTTGAAAGTATACCCTTCCAATTTAACTGGAATAAACTTTTTTTTTTCACTCGAGGTAAACATAATAAATAATGAGCAACAGATAATATCTTATTGGTGATTTTTTTTTTTTTTAACTGTGCAATATGTTCTATAAGCTTATTTTTATAACGATATGCTGCTCATATTTGGAAAATGCCTTGCTGTACTAGGAGTTAATCAAATAGGTACATTTATTTATA